TATGTAAAATAAGAAAAAAAAATTAAAAGTGAGCTGCAAAACTCTGCTGTTTTAAGAGAGGGGTTGCCATCATGCTACAAAAATTAAAAAGTCCAGGTCCTGGAGAGTACTGTCAGAAAAGGCGTGTGCTTACTGGAATCCAACCCAATGGCTCTTTACATCTCAATCATCCAAGTTACTCAGTTCTCAGAACCCCAGTGCAACCCTGTAGGAACCAAGATGTTGGAAAAAAGGGGAAATAGTAACTCCAAGCCACAATTACTGGAATGAATGAAGAAAGGGCAAGAAAAACTCCAAAACAGGTTGTCTCTGCAGCAAGACAAAAGTCAGTTTATAAGCATTTTACTAAAAATTTAGCAGAGAAAACCTAAAATGCTCTAGTGAGAAGGTTTCTCTTCTACCACTTGGGGTTTCAGATCTTAATGAAAATGGGCTAGAGGAGCAACACTACTTTGCATTTCTGTTTGACCCTCACAACTCTTGGCCAATACAGTGGTTAGTACTGAGGGTCAACTTGACAGGATCTACAACTACCTAGGAGATAAATCTCTAGCCATGCCTGCAAAGGATTATCTAGATTAGGTTAAATGTGGACTGCTATTCCATAGGCTGGGGTGCTCCCTGCATACAAAGGAGAAAGACACTGGAGCATGGGTATTTATTTATCTCTCTTTCTCTCTGCTTCCTGCTACAGATACAGAGCAGGGGCAGTCATCTCTCTGCTTCCTGACACAGATGTGGAGCATGGCATTCACCTCTCTCTCTGCTTCCTGACTGTAGATGTGGTGACATCTGTTTCATTCTTTTGCTGTGGTAGACTATACCCTAAAAACCATGTGTCCAAATAAACTTTCCCTTCCTCAAGTTACTTCTTGTTAAGTGTTTTGTAATGGCAAGAAGAAAAGTAACAAACAGAAAATGTCACTAATCTTTGAATGGATTACTTATAATCCCTAAGGATTATTTCATGATTACTAAAAATCATGCCACCAAATGTTACATAAATTATAAGATTTATTAGCTCGGCCTACCTGGTACTTATATTAAAGCAGTCATTTGACAAGTGCTACCAAAGCTTATTAGACAGAAGATGGAGAAAGGGGAGAAGATGGAGAGACTCCAAACAGCGTAAGAAAATGGCAAGGCAGCAGCTGCTCCTGTCCTAAAGACCAGTATGAACCTTGCAGGCACCTTAGGTGATTGATCTCTCACTTGGCACTATTCTCTCTCAACACCAGCCTCTTCCTGGTCAAGTCTGTTCACACTGCAGGGGAGAATTTAACCACTTGAAGGCAAAGGCTCTGAACTGATAATCTAAAGCAGTAGAAACTAAGGAGACTCAAGGGGCAGAGTCTTAGACTGAACTGAAGGTCAGATCTTGTAATCTATTTTCAGCCTTCTCATATGGTTCATTTTGATGCTGATTAGAAACTGAGCCAAAAGAAACAATTAATTTCTTTTGTAGTTATAGAATAAATCACAAACCAGAGAGAGACAGAGACATAGGCAGAAGGAAAGACTAATTAGCTTGAAATTTCTCATTGAAGCAAGTTGAAATGATAAGATGTGACATTTATTGGGTACTTATACTAAGCACAATCACTGGGCACTTTATATTATATACACAAAAGACTATGACATGGGTACTATCATTATCCCTGTTTTATAGATGAAGAGAAAAATAGAAATTAAAGAATAAAAAAAAACTTTGCTTAAAGTCATACAACTATTTGTAGCTGGGATAAGAGGTCTAACTAAAGAACCTATACTTTTATCCAACACAGTTATAAATATACATGCAATTTTTATTAAACCAGACTCTTCCTCAAATGAATATGCATTCATTCACAAAGAAAAGGATCCAGAAAACAAAACAAATGGTTAAATACAACAAGTTAAATGTCTACCATCTGGCAGTAGACCCCCTAAGTGTCTGCTATAATCACAGCTGAATAGCTGTATGATAAATAACAAAGTTATTCAGTGTCTTGGTTGCCTGTAAATTTAACGTTTTAATTGAATCTCTCAAGATACTTCAAATGAAATACATTACACTCTCGGAGCTATAAAAATACATTATTTTTCAGGCTATTCACTGTCCTATTTCTGCTCAGTTTCCTCCCTTCCTCCCCCATTTCCTCTCTGCCTAACATCCTTTAAAGCCAGTTCAGTTCCTCTTTCTTAAGAATACCTTACACATACACTGTACCCAAGAGAATGCTAGCATTTGTCTGTGTGCAACAGCTGTAGGATGGCACAAACTTTACAAAAAAGAGCCAAGAAGTGGAAATACATTCTAATGTATGTTCAGTTTTAGATCTATGCAGCTGCAGAAGTAATTGAAATATTCTTGTTTTTCTATTTCACAATTGACATCTTCTTTTAACAATTGGCATATCCCAAAAGTCTTCCTTTGTTTAGACTTTTTTTTTTTTGCAAAATAGCTTTTCCCAAAATTTTCCCTAAGTATGGAATTTCTTAAAATACGAAAAATAAACGCCAAACAGGTTGTTAGACAAAAACTCTATCATATTTTAGTAAGATAATTATCATATCCTGAATAATGTATCGAGCCCAATGTAAATATTTTACAAATGAACATGTAAAACTTGTGTGCAAGGTGTGAAGTTGCACATGTGATACCAGCAGTGGGCAGAATGGCAGGATAAGTTCAAGGCCTGTCTGTGCCAAATAACGCGACTCTGACAGTGTAAAAGGGGGACTCCAATGCATCTCCATGGTGCTGCATCTGTCCTCCCAGGGAAGCCTGCAAACCTCAGTCCTGGCAGCCCCTTTCTGGAGCTGACAAACATAGCTCATCTTCTCCTAATGCCCATGTATTCTTTTTAAAAACCTGAACCGAGGTGTTATGTACAAGAACATAGGTGCTGAAGTTAAAAGAATCCTAACCTGCAGTGGGATGCTCATACTTATTAACTCTGATACCTAGAGCAGTTAAACTCTAATTTAACATTTCACTTATCTATCTGATGGGAGGACATTAATTACTTACAAGGCCTTCATACACTTTAAATAATTATATAAACACTGAGCAGAGGCTCTAATACCAGTAGGTGCCCTACAAATGACCACCATGGGAGATATGCTGTAATGCTAAAGGATGTTTAGCTGGTAATAAGCCATACATGCCCTTTTATTAAAATCATGGAGCCCTGTGAACCTATATTAAAGATGAATTAAAACTAAAAAAGCCTGAGGCTGCATGTACCCTGGCAGCAGACAGCGTGCTCAGAATGTATGAAACAGTTGGTTCACTCCCTAATACACACACACATTTTTACATATACACATCCACCTAAAAGTTCCAAGATTATATAGGAAATTTTCCACCTTGTAATAAGAGATACAAGATAACTACAGGTTAAAATGATAAAGATAAAGAAAATCTTGAAAGCTTCTAAGTTTGAGCAATGAGTGCATGCTATTCTATTTTTGTAAAAACACATTACTTTTTTAAGTACAAATTTAATCCCCTGAACGTACATTTTTTTCTTCATATTCAGGAGAAACCAGGATTTGAGCCTTGAGATGTGTTGAGCAATGGTAACTTTCTACTCAATAATTTAATACTGGTCAAATTTTCACTATCCATTCTACCTTTCATTATAAAGGTGAACAAAGGGAATACTTAAATGCACTCAATGTTTAAAAGCATGCAGATTTTTCAATTGCATATCCATATTACATCAAACAGTAGCAACACACATTTTTCTGCATCTTTTAAGAAAAGGAAATATTTTCACTGTTCTTGCTTAATTACGAGGCAATCATAGGAATAATCCCTAACTGAAAGGTATCACATCAGTTTCTACCGTTGATAACTGAATTTTTCAGTCCTCCCATCAACTCACATAAAGGCTGTAGGCAATGTTTCTCGATTGCTTTTAGTTTTTATCCGTGATTGACAATATAGCAAACCTTCAAAGGAAACTTAGCAATTTCTCAGGGCTTAAGCAGCTTGGCCTCCAGTCTGTGCTACCTAAATTAAGCTAACAACACAAAATTCCAAGTGACAACTTGCCTCCCCTGCGTAAGTAATGAACACCCGTGAAACAGACAAAAAGCTATGTAGCAGAGCAGTAATTCCTGTTCTAACTTCAATTCCCATTATGAAGTAGCTGGCTCTATCCAAAAACGTTCCTATTCATTACGGAGTCCAAGTTTCAAATAAACATACTGGCACCGGCAATCGCAGAACCACACAGCCCATGATCAATATATGCAAACTGCGTCTATCTGCAGAATAAAAGGCACCTGCACTTGCAGCCTCAGTTTACCCAGCTACTGTGCACTTGCAGGCGTTTTTTCTCCCTCCCTTAAATAAGCAACGCACTTCACTGTGGCTAGCGAGGTTCCTTCTCACCGTGCTCTATAGACACCCTGGAAGTGCATAATGCGGATCAGAAGTCAAAGCTTCACGTTTCCCAACTTTAGCTGTTATAACGCGAGCCAGCCCCGGACGCCAGCATCCGCCCACTGTCCTCTCGTGACTCGGGCTACTTTGACGCACCGGGATGCGGTTCACCTGACACTCTGCACCAACGCCGACCAAGAAGAAGGGGGGAAAAAAATCAACTAAGCCAAAATAAAACGCGTCTCCAAGACAACGCGCACCCGGGTGCCCCTAAGGAAAGCCGGGGACCGCGTCGCCCCCAGCAATAGGCGGCGGCCGTCACCTGCCAAACGAGGCCGTGGCCAGGGGCCCGGTGCCCCGGCCTCCGAGAGCAGTGGCCCGCCAGGCCCTCCGGCCCCGCGGCGGGGGCAGGAACCTGGGGCCCAAGGTTTCCGCCCGGTGCGGCCGCTCGGCCGGGGCCTAGGGCGGGGGCCGCACGCGCTTCCGAGGACGAGCCCGGGCGCTCTGCGGCGCGCGGGCCCCTCGGCGCGGCCCGTGCGTGGAGCCCCGGGCCGGCGGCGCCCGCACCTGCCCCGCGCCGCGCGCCCCGCGCCCCGTAGCAGCGCTGACGGGAGGCTTCACCCACCTGGCGCCTCGCGCACGTCACCGCGCGAGCCACCCCGCGCGCTCCTCGGCACCCGCGCACGGGCGCGGCCAGGCGCCGGGGTAGACCCTGCTGTGCGGCCGCCGCCGCCGCCGCCGCCGCCGCCGCCGCCGCCGGGTCAGTCGTCAGGTCGGCCGCAGCGAACCTGTTGCGCAGCCTGTCACGGCCGCTGGGCTCCGCCGGCGCCGCCTCAGCCCCACAACAACATGGCGGCCGCGGCCTCCGCAGGAAGCCGGGGGGCGGGGAGGCGAGCGACGGGCGGGCAGTGACGGCCCGCCCGCCCGCCCGCTCGCCCGGCCGCGGGGCACCAACTCCCCACCGTGGGGGAGCGCGACGCCGCGAGGCGTTTCTCCTCACCCCGGGAACCGAGGAGCCCTGGACCGTGAGGGCGTGAGCCGAAGCACTTCTCTGGCCACCACGTCCCGAAGTAATGGAGCTGACAGCCCTTCCAGGAGCCGCTGCGACCCACCTGGCTCCTCCTCTTCGAGGTGACATGCTGAGGCTGGGTGGGACGTTTCCTGCCAAACTGGACCCCAAGGTTTTTGGAAAGGGCACAGAGATGTCCAGGTCCCTGGTGGACCACACATGGAACATGCTGTCTCTCACTCTGGAACTTTCTTATTTTGCTGAAGGCTACGATTTCCTGCGAATGGAGAAATTAGAGGTGCAAAGGAGTTGCCTCCACCTTTGAGGCAGACCCTTCTCAGGGATTCCCCGAGAGTCAGCCATCCATTCACCATCTTACACAGACACACACATGTCCAACAAGGAGCACCCCTATCCCTATTCTCATGCAAGAGCACTCAGGGGTTCCCCAAGAGTCAGTCATCCATTCACCATCTTACACAGACACACAGACACAGACACAGACACAGACACACACACACACACACACACACACACACACACACACCCAACAAGGAGCATCCCTATCCCTATTCTCATGCAAGAGCACTCTCCTTACAGGAAGACTGCCCCAGTTTCCTCCTGCAGAACCTAGAATTCTTACCAGTCTGATAGGAGAAACTCATTCAGAATTTCACTCTATCGCCCTTTCTGTTATGTGGGCCCCTCACAAAGACCGGACTCCTCACCATTCTATATCTAGGACTAGCCATTTGAAAAGACAGCATTCCCTCAACCAAAATGCTTTCTTTAGATTAGGGTGAAGAAGTGATGGTTCTTAATGAGCAAAATGGAGGGGTCTAAGACTCAAGATTTTGAGAGGACTGTGCTAATATTCAAAACGAATAACCTGAACTGGTGTGTGTGGAATCCTTGTACTCAGAGGCTGAGTTGGAAAGATCGTGAGTTTGAGGCCAGTCATGGCTATATATAAACTGTCTCAAAAATCCCATAAATAAATGGATGTTTCTTAAGCATTCATATCCTTATGATTTCTGTTGAAATGTAAGAGATCTGTGTAGATAGATGCCCCTAGGGCCTCAGTTTTTACCTGTTGGAGCAGGTGAAGGAATCAAGTCTGACCTGAATGAGATGGCTGCAATGCTCAGGCCTGACTGAGCTGGACAACCAACTCTCAGGAGGAATTAGCAAATACTAATGGTGACAAACAGGCTTTTCTTGCTCTCACAGTGTTTTTCTTAACTCTTCGATTAGGACTTGGCCAAGACCTGACAGACAGGCCCTGAGCTCCGGTGACACAGAGACACCTGACTCCTTGGTATCAGTCTAGGAGGTCCCTCACTTCCTGGGACCAGTTAATGAGGCTTCTCCCTCTATAAACAAGCTGCATCGGTTAAGAAAAGCACCCTTAAGCACCTGTTACCATATCCATCACAGTGCTACCATCCCATCCCCACATCTAAGCCCCTAAGCATCAGAACCCTCACCACAATACTGCAAAGAGTTGGCCTGCAAGGTAAAACTGATTTTATTTATTCCTAATGGGAAGATACTTAATATCTACTTCTTCCCATCACTGGCTGGTGTCACTTGAGTTTTAATGTTCTGGACCTGGTAACATTTACCTTGTCTTCTTTCTGTTGAAGAAGCTGCCAGATCTTTGGGAGGAGGAGGATAGGGAAGGGGGAGCATTTAAAAGTCTCCCTAAAATAAACTACAAAGCTAATAGTCTCTGAGTTGAATTGGGGTTCTGTATGCCTGCCTGCAGTATCCCAAGCACCAAACAACAATTCAGGTTTATATTCAGAACTTTAGACCAACCTGTCTATCCTGTCACAATAGAGTATAAGGATCTCCAATAACCGCACTTCTCTCATACATACATATGTGACTTGGGAATAAATTAATGCTGTTAAACATTTAGTGGTTAGGTATAAATAATGAGGAAAGCAAAGGAGTGAGGAATTCTCAGATTCCTAGGTAGACCTTGCTAACAGCAGTTCTGTTCAACAAGCTAAAGAATGGAACTTGGGAGGGAAACACAGAAGCTATCCAAGAAATGTTCTTGCTACTTCTAGATCTTTCTCCACTCATAAGAAAAACAAAACAAAACAAAAACAAAAAAAACAGAACAAAAAACATGTCCTTTTCCTTTGAGGTTTGCAACACCAGCAACACCCTTCTTCTCTCCTTGTGTCTTCTTTTGCCAGATTTCAGGGCACTCACTATTCATCAAGAATGTCAGCACCTGAGGTACTCAGTCAGTCCTCGAGGTCCACCCAGAACTCTCATTGTCCTTAGTCTTCAGGCATTCATGATTCAGGTAGGTGATGCAGCTACCCTCCCACGTCATTATCTTCCTCCACTCATGGGCAGGTCTCCAAACTGTAAATTCCCTCAGAATCTCCCAATCTCCAAAACCTATCTTCTGTTCACCTCTAGAGTGAACTGAAGATGAAATAGCAGGTCCTGCCTAAGTCAGAGACATTCTTGTCAATTCTATAAAAGATTAACAATCACTGTAGAAAGGAAAGTTAAAGCAGACAGGGAGTAGGCTATGCATATCATATTTATTTCTCCCTTTCTGCCAAAATCTCAAATAGGTTATTAGACCTGTTACTGTAAACTAAAGTTTTGCCATGGAGATATCTAATCATACATTCTTTTCCTTCCTTGTATCCATGCTCCTGCCAAACACATAGATCCTCTCAATTTTCCCTTTTGTGGTTTTCAAAGGTCCCATTCTTCATCCAAAATCCTACTCATTCTATCCTCAAAACAAATCTATCATGGTGAGAACAGGCTAGAATAGACACAAATAGTACAAAGTCCTGATTTCAACCATCCCATAAGATAAATGTTATCACATAGGAAGCCCATGAAATATTTGTCTTTTACATAAGACATTTACCACTAATAGACTGTAAACAAATAATTTATAAGGGAATTAAGAGGCTATGGCCAACAGAAACCATCCTGATTTACTCAGTTTGTTACTTCTTGTGTCCTTCATTCTTTCCTGAGGACCAGAGTGTCTGTTTAATCCCCTTTAAATAACTTCCTTTAGTGTTTAAAGCTAGAGTGCATGTCTGTTAGTCACAAGTTCTTACATTTTATATGAAAACTTAAATGTTAGTTGCATTCACATTTGAATGTAAATTTACATTCAGTGGATACAAAATACTAAGTTATGAAAGTGAGATAGCTCAGTGGATAAAGGCCCCCATGCCTGATGACTTGAGTTTGCTCTCTGGGACCAACAGAGGTGGAAGGAGAAAATCGACTCTCACAAGTTGTCCTCTAACTTCTACACATGTGCTGTGGCATGTGCATACCTGAATATAAAAAGCACATGCAAAATAAGATATATTTCTTTCAATATTTAATGGTATTTTTCCATTCTTTTCTAGTCTCATAGCTTCTCTTGAAAAGTGAGCTGTTGATCAGATATGTCTATTATAATCTTACATGGCTTTTCTTCACAGCTTTCAAGACTTGCATTGTACCATTGCTTTCAGCAATTTGACTATGACATACACCGACATGGACTTTTCTGCTTCTCAGCTTCATGAATCTCATGTTCACAAATATGTCTTTCATTGAAATTTTTAAAATAGCAGTCATCATTCCTTCAAAATTTTTTTCTGCTCCACTGTCCTTCACACACACACACACACACACACACACACACACACACACACACATGCACACCTGTTTGATAGGAGTTCCTGTTAGGTATACCCCAACAGTGTAACAGTGTTCCACTATGGAATACCAAAGCCCTGGCTCTACCCTCCCCTCCACACAGGACATGTGGAGCTAGGACTATTGGGAAATGCCCTTTTTAAAGTTTTGCTTCTTTGACCTTTTTTTGGTAAGAGCTTGTTTGTGTCTACTGTCAGACAAGGCATCTATTCTGTGTCTGACAAGAAGAAAAAATGGAACATCATAATTTCTCACTCCTATACTCTCATTCTCTTTCTCTGTTTCTGAGAAGTAGATGAAAATTGAAATTTTCCCTTTCATGGTTTCTTCTATCAATACTTAGAATGAACTACCGACAATAGTGATTAATGCCTGGAGACCTAAAGTCAAGTCACTCTGGGAAACCAGTGTGAGGTTGCCCCAGTATTTTATCATCAGGATCATATACTGATGAAAAGTAGGTCAGCAAAGGGGTTCAAGGCCCAAAGAAAGGTCTAGGCCTTCATATGATATAGATTCGTCAAAGTTACTTACTGACTGGTTTCCTTTCACAAAGTTAGAATTATTCTGTATTTTTAAAAAATTATTTAACTTTATTTTATGTGTATTGGTGTGAAGGTATCAGATCCCCTGGAACTGGCATTATAGACAGGTGTGGGCTGCCATGTAGGTTCTGGGAATTGAACCTGTGTCCTCTGGAAGATTGGCCAGTGCTTTTAAGCTTTGAGCCATCTCTCCAGCCCCTCACAAAGTTAAAATTATTAAGAGCCTCACATGTTTTTAGTTCAGAATCATGATCAACAGGACAAACTGATCCTAGGGTTTTCTTCTCTACTCTTCAACCTTAAAGACCCTTTCTTTTCCAGAGTATGGTGCAGAGTAGAAACAGGAAAGTGGGAATAGGAGTGACTTGGGGAAAGAGGTGGGAAGGGAGCTCTCCTGTTCTAGCATGGGAGGGGTAGTACCACTTTCAGGCCACAGGAGACTCTGGCTTGAAGGTGGATGGTACTGGAA